GGTTTCCTAGACACCTGGGAGAAAAGGTGGTTCTGGTTTCCAAGAGGGTTTCCTCCTCCCACAGGCCTCCCACTGCTGGCTCCCAGAGTCCTGAGCTCTCTTGCCCCAACTTCATCCTACCCCGTATTCCACCTGAGATGAAGCTCCTCTCACAGGTATGGAGACCCAAGGAGTTCTAGGATCATGCCCTGAATTCCTCACCTGAGATCAGGAGCTCCAAAATGTGGCTGGTGGACCACACATAGGGAGAGCTGGAGAAATAACCATAGCACCTGTATGTCTGCCTGTGACTTGGGCTCATGTGGTCCACAATGAAGAGCGCCTGGAACCACCCATCAGCTTGGCGCCATGAGTCCAGGTGTCTGGGGTGGCCCTCTCCTCCTTTGCTACACAGAACAAACCAGTCAAAATCCTGCCATGAACCACACTGGAGGGTCACGCTCCCTCCTGAGGTCACAATGGGGCTGGGCAGGGCTGAGAGGCTGGGTCTGTTGAACATTCCTGGGAAAGAACAAACCAGTTGTGTTAAAAGGGGAGGAGGCGCCTGAGGACAATGTGCTAAGTGAAATAAGGTAGGCACAGAGGGACAAATACTGCATGATTCCACTTCTATGAAGAATCTAAAGAGGGTCAGATATGTAGAAGCAGAGAGTAGAATGGCGGCTGCCAGGGGCTGCAGGGAGGGGAAGAGGGAGATCATGGGTATAGAGTTTCAGTTTTGCAAGTTCAGTTCAGTTCTGGAGATCAGCTGTGCAACACTGTGCCTATAACAGTACTGTATTGGGCACTCAAAAATTTGTGAAGAAGGTAGATCTCATGTTCTAAGTTCTTACCATAATAAAAAAGGGGGCAGGGGAAGAGAGAGGAACACCACCCCCAGATTGCCAATGGGACTCTGCTGTAGAAAGGGAGGTCCCTCCCCGGGCACAGTCACCTCACCTGTGTAGATGGAAGTGCCTGCTCACCTGTGACTGCCAAGTCCAGAGGCTTGCTAGGAACTGACCAGCTTGTTTGTCTGTGATACAAGCAGGAGTAGCGCCCAGCAAGGTGGTAGGTCATGTGTGGGAATGGGAACTTGGCCTTGCTGCTGGGTCCCAGGGGAAACTCCCTTCTCAAGGGCTCCGAGACCCCTTCCTGGTACAGGAAGTACTGGTCAGCTTTCTGAGACCCCTGACACCAGATGCTCACAGGCTTCCCCTGGGCCACTGCAGGGCCTGGCTCTGCCCAGATGATCAGTGTGAGCAGTGTCTCTGGAAGAGAGTCAGAGTTGCAGTCCCTATATTCTCTATGCCTCAATTTCCACTAGCTCTCAGCCCTGGGGCACCTTGTATACCTTCTTTATTGATCAATTTAACATTCCTCTCCTCCATCCTCTGGATGCCCTGGCAGGGAGGGGAGTCCTATATTGTGCCCAAGGAGGAAGTGGGACCTGGGACCCCTGGGGATGGGCTCACCTGCCTGTACGTGGGTCATCTGGCCCAGACACAGTCCTGGGAGAGAGATCCCAGTGAGAGGTCACTGACTCCTGAGCAGATCCCCACCTTTCCTGAGCATCCCAAGTTCATGAGACCTCCTGAGAGATCACAGCCTGGCTTTGAGAGGGCTCCCCTCTCCCACACAGGAGTTTAGCCCCAACCTTCCAAAAACTCACCGAAGCAGAGAAGGACTATAAAAGTGATGGTCATGGCGCTGCCTCCCACTGGACAAGGCTGCACAGATGGACAAAACCACAGAAACTGGCACACCTGACGGACCCAAAGGATGCAGGCAGCAGGGGGCTTTCCCATTGGCGGGCTCAGAGGAGGGAGCTCCAGAGGACGCCTTCACCCCTGCGGACAAGTGAGACCTGATCTGTGGTGAGCCCAAGCTTCTATCTACTAGGCGTGACCTCCCTCCTGAAGAGGGTGGGGACAGAGTTTCCAATCCTGAGTCAGCCCCGTTGGCCACATACAACCTGGGTGTGCCCAAAGGAATACCACTTCCCTTCTCAAGATTTCCATATATGGGGATTTCTTCCCTTCAGCCAGTCACCCAGCAAATGTCCATTTGAACCCTTAGATGTTTTTCCAGGCCCTGGACATTCATCTGTGAACGAGAAGATGTAGTCACAGTGCCAGCAGGGCTCGGATTATCAGAAGACAGATGTTCAATAACGGATCTCACAATTACTTATTTGAAAAAGAGAAAGGCACAGAAATATGAAAATGTATAGCAGTAGGGAACTATAAGCTGTATATTAAAAAATAGAAACCTTGTACCCATCCTCACGGGGTATCCTTAAGGACTGATTATGCACTCACCATCACTCATCATCAGGGAAACGCAAATCAAAACAACAATGAGATATCACTGCACATCTATTAGGATGACTATTCTCGAAACACACACACACACAAAGACAAAAAGTATTGAAGAGGAAACAGAAAAATTGGAACCTGTGTACACTGTTGGTGGGAAGGCAAATTGGTACAGTTGCTGGAAAACAGTATAGAGGTTCTACGAAGTATTAAAAATAGGACTGTCATATGATCCCGCAATCCCACTCTTGGGTATTGATCCAAAAGGACTGAATTGGGATCCTGAAGGAAAATTAGCACTCTGTTGTTCATTGCAGCATTATTCCCATGGCCAAGATGTGGAAACAATCTAGGTTCCCCTCAATAGATGGATGGATAAATCACATGTGGCATCCACATACTATGGAATATTATTCAGGAAATATACTTAAGAAGGAGGAAATCTTACATTTGTAACAACATGGATGGACGTTGAGGATATTGTATTAAGTGAACTAAGCCAGTCACAGAGGGACGAATACTGCATGAATCCACTTCCTTCAGGAATCTAAAATGTCAAACATGTAGAAGCGAGAGCAGCATTGTGGCTGCCAGGGGCTGGGGGGAGGGGACGTGGGGAGGCGATATTCCACGGGTACAGACCTTCGGCTCTACAAGATGAGCAAGTCCTAGGTATCTGCTGTACAACATTGTGCCTACAGGTAACAATACTGGATTATACACTTAGGAATTTGTTAAGAGGATTGATCTCATGTTAATTGTCCTTACCAATATAAATTTTAAAAAGACAAGTGACTATGGTGTCAAACTTCATAGTCAAGATGGCAGACCAGGCCCATGTTTGGAGTCCCCTTCAGCTCCAAACGCAGAGAAGCTCTGGACAAAATGTTTGTAAAACATGTGGTCATGGTCAGACAAAGAGAGAAGTGGGGGTTCCATGGGGGAACAAGGCTGCATAGGGATGACCAGGGGCTGAAGCAGTGCAGTTGGAGCTGAGCTGGGACCGGCAAAGAGTCATCTGTGGAGATGACCCGTCTGTGCAGAGGGAAGACTTACAGTATGCTGGTGACCTTAAAAATAAGCCTTGCCAGTTATTTCACCAGCAAAAGATGGGTTTTTTGGAAAATAGGAGAGAATCCCAGACCAGAACAAACATGCTGCGCCAAAATCATGGTCAAGTCCAGGGGACAAAAGGGAGGTACGATTTTTAAGGAGAAAGGGGGTAAGTTGGGAAGGTTGCAATAAACTAAAAGTCCAATGGAGTTAAGAGGGTATCAGAAGACTCCGGGAACCAGACTGAGGGTTACGGAAGGGAGGTGGGTGGGGGATGGGGTAACTGGGTGATGGGCATTAAGGAGGACACGTGTGGTGATGAGCACTGGGTGTTATATGCAACTGATGAATCACTGAATATTATATCAGAAACTAATGATGTATTATATGTTGGCTAATTGAATTTAAATTTTTAAAAATGGGTGTGGTGGCTTCTCATTGACCGAGCTGTTTCCCCGGGGGATAAGCATATCATCTCTCCCCCTGGCCGGAATAGAGGAGTAGTACCCAGGAGCAAGGTCAAGTCCATGTAAGTTCAACTCCACCTCTTCCTGTTGGGTCCGCCATTGACTACAAGTGGTAGAGCATGACAGCTTTCCTGGCCAAAACCTCCTGACTCCATTTTGGCAACCGATTTTCACCATACAAAGAACTCTGAACAACAAAAAGACAAACAACCCAACTACAAATGGGCATAGGACTTGAACAAATATTTCTTCAAAGAAGACATGCAAATGGCCAACAGGTACATGAAATAGATAAATAAATAAATGAATAAATAATAAATAAAATCTAAAAAAAAGAAATTATACACAACTCTCTCATTTTATAGCTCAAGCCTCATGCAGAAAGAGAATAAATAACATGTGGCCAATACTCATATGGAAATTAGCAAAACCAAATTAAGCTGTCACAGACTGAGTACAGAGCTTGGTTCTCTTCCTGGTTTCCATTGGGATTTGTCCATTCCAAGGCACAGAAACACCCTCTTCATCCTCTTTATCGGTGGTGGCCCTCAGGCCCCAGAGGCCCTAGAGACCCTAGATACTCATCACAGGTAGTCATGGAGCCTGGCTGAGACCAGAAGTAGGTTTGGGAAGTGCTCCTGGAGGAGAATCAGAGGTGGAATTTCAAGGGATCCTTCGCAATCACAGTTGTCCTAGAGGACTCTCCATCTCTATCTCTATCTTCCCAGAGCTCCCCCACCCAAGCCTTGCTCTCCGCAGTAGTGCAGAGCAGCTTCCATAATACGTCCATTCCCTAGTCCCTGGAAGCTGTGAATCTCTTACTTCACATGGCAAAAGGGACTTTGAGGATGTAATTAAGGTTTACAAACTTTGAAACAGAGACATAGCAGTAGCCTACGGATACACTTAAAAATAAGAGAGGTTAGGGAGGACGAGGCCTATCAGATATTACAACACAATAGAAACACTTTTTAACAAAACCATCTAGTACAAGCACATAAAGAGAATAGCCAAGCTAAGAATTGAATCTAACTAGTTATAGAAACTTAGTGCATTGAGAAAGTGGCATCACACATCATTACCCAAAAAAAGGCATTTTTAAAAATAAATGGTTTGCTGAAAACTGAATTGGATTTATCCTCCATATTGTGTAGAGCAAATAATTAAGAGATATAAGTATATAAAACAAAACCAAGTAAGTGCTAGAACAAAATATTGAAGAGTTTCTTCATAATGAGAGAAAGGACTCTAAACCATGATGCAAACCCCTGAATAAATTTGAGGGTTTTTTTTAAAAGAAAAACTTTTGCAAGGAAAGGAAAAAGCCCATAAGCCAGTTGGAATAACAAGGCAAAGAGAGAAAGAACATATATATTACATATATAATATTGTATGATATAAATTGTAATAGCTTATATATATATGCATTTGTGCATCTACATACATATATATTATATAAAAGGGCTAATTACATAAAAGGGTAAATTTCCCCAATACAGTAAGTTAGAAACAAAAAACAATGACAAAACCTATTATCCCTTAAGATAATGGACACAAGACATGAATGGATAAATAAAATATGGTCTGTCCAGACTGTGGAATATTATTTGGCAACAAAAGGGAATAAAGCCCTGATTCATGCTACAAAGTGGATAAAACATAAGACATTATGTTTTGAGCGATACTTCACATGCTAAGTGAGAGAAGCCAATTGCAAAAGATGTGTATGGTTCACACTCATATGAAATGTCAAGAATAGACAAATTTATGGAGAGAAAGCTTAGTTGCCCGGGGCTGGGGAGACAGGAGTGATTGCTAGTGGGCATGGGGTTTCCTTTTGGGGTGATGAAGGTGTTCCAAAATTGACAGTGGTGGTAGTTGTTCAACTCTGAATAGTTCAAAAAGCCACATTGAATTGCACGCTTTAAAATGGGTGAATTGGGGCACCTGGGTGTCTCAGTCAGTTAAGCAGCTGCCCTCAGCTCAGATCATGATCCCGAGGTCCTGGGATTGAGTCCCACATTGGGCTCCTTGCTCAGCAGGGAGCCTGCTTCTCCCCTGCCTGCCGTTCCCCCTGCTTGTGCTTGCTCTCTGTCTCTCTCTTGCTCTCTCTGTGTCAAATAAATAAATAAATAAAATCTTAAAAAAAATAAAATGGGTGAATTGTATGGTATGTGAATCATGCCACAAACTGTTACCAAAACCAAAGTCCGAAGCAAACTGAGATATTAACTGAAAGTTTGTATCCCGTCTATGCACATGAAGTGTAATCATATAAACAGGTGCTCTGTGCATTCATCACAAGAGAATGTCAAATGAAAGTCACACGTGTTTCAGAGGTCGGATTCGAGCATTTCTGAACGTTGACCACAAGCACTACCAGGAGGGCTGTGCGGAGACACTCACTCTCTCCCCTGTGCTGGCTGGCAGAGCCCAGAAATGTGATGACACTGACTGCAGAAAATCCAGTGAGTTACATGACCAGTGAAACTCCCATTGGCCCAGCAAACTGCTCTCAGGAATCTATGGTGAAGACGTTGGGGGCAGAGATGAAGCCATCCCTGTGAGTTGTCTGTCACCAAAGCTCTGTCCATTAAATCCAAAGAGAGGAGACTATTTGGGAGCATCTGGGGTAAAGCAGCCATGGACATAATGAAGAGGATTTATATGAATCAATACGCCATGGCCTCCGGGATGCACAGTATGGCAGGCTGGACGCCCCCACCCCCACCCCCTCCGCTTGCTTTGATGTTTGCTGTCTGTCAGTGTACAGTAGATAAGAAAATATGTTCCCTAGATGACAGCGTTCTGTGGTCAAGGTCATCCTCATCTACATGTTGAGCTTCCCTGCCTACTGCAAAACTGTCTCCTTCGGGTGTCCCCAACACCCCCGGACCTGTGTATAAACACCCTCCCCATTTCACCCATCCGGACCCAATCCCAGGAGGGTGGGCTCTCGGTCGCTGTCCATGGTGCTGATTGGTACTTGGCCTTTCAGTCCGTTTCAGCACCATGGCCAGAGTCTACGAAGGCAGCAAAGTTACCATATTCTGCTATCTCGGTTGGCAAGCTTGCCTCAGCGAGCCCCCATCGTTGGTCTATATAGCCTATACAGCCTATATAGCCTCCACGCAGGAGTCAAATAGAAAATATTCGGTCAGAGTGTGGAGATAAACTGGAAAACTACAGGGGGGTGTAGTCGTTGACATTAATTCAAACTCCCTTCACAATCTGTGCATCCTGAATGGAGATAGAATTTGGAAGCTCAGGATGTTGGCCACATGCTCGGCATGCCAGCCACTGGAACAGCCCATGGTGTCATATAATGTTAGCACTCCCTATCTGCCTCAGAACATCTCTTACCAGACCAAGTTCAGGGTACCAGCTATTGGGTATGACCAAAAGATACTGGACTTGGGGGCACATCAAACTGGTTTCAAAACCTAGAGCTGACTCTTCCAAGCTCTGGGTCCTTGGGAATATCATTTCACCTCTTTGAGTCTCACTTTGCTTTTCTCTAAGATGGCAGTGATAATGGTACCTGCTTTGTAGGAATGTTTGGGAGACTGATGGTCAGAGATTATTATACTCTGCCTTTCACAGGAGGCAACAAGTTTAGCCAGGAGGGCAGGATTTGGAGCCAGGCAGCCTGGGATTTGATCGTAGCTCTTTCTCATTAACTATGTTGTTACTTAGGGAAAGTCACCCTCATGGTCCTGTGTTGTCATCTATAGGATGAGGATAATGCTGGGACCTACTTCATAGGGTTTTGGTAAGAAACTAAACAGTTTCTATGTGTGATGTGTGATGTAAAGTGCCTGACCTATAGTCAGCACCCATGCAAGTTGGGAGCTGTTCCTATCATTATTGCCATCATCATCATCATCTTTACCCTAGTCATTATGTGCCTAGACACAGCCTGACAAACTGCCTGTGTTCAGGAATGGTAGCTGTTTTTATAGACTACTGTTAGGATTGCTGACAGCTGACACAGATGAAGACACTGGAGCTAAGAATTGAAAGTGACTAGCCTGGGGCCACAGGGCAAGAGTTGGTGGAAGTGGGACATGAAACCAAGCCTGTCTGATGACAATGAATGGGCTTTTGCCACAATCCCACCTGCCCACATTTAGCATCAAGGAGGGAAGGACCTTAGGAATCCCCTCCTCCACCCCAGAGGGAAGACCAAGTCTCACAGTACTTTGGCCAGGAGTTTGCAAGGATCATATTTCAGTCCTTCCCTTCTTCCTCGGCTCTGCCACTTGAACCAGAAAAGTTGCTTCGTTCTTTCACAGAACCTGCAGTTGGCTCCTGGGAACTTTTCCCGGTGGGGTTGGGGGCAGAGGGGGAAGGAATTGTGGATGGTCTTTGTTGCATGGGGTATTGCGAGATGGCTCAGCGGAAGGAGGAAGGAGCTGAGACTCGAGAGAGGGAGCCCCAGAGACAGAGCTCAGCTGTCCTGGGAAGCAAGCAAACAGCTGCAGTCCACTCCCAGTGCAATGGTTCTCCTGGGGCTCCCTCTGCTGGCATGGTCCTCACTCCCTCTCTTCTGCTTCCGTCCCTCTCTATCTCCATCTTTCTGGGGCCTCCTCTCTGTAGATTTCTCTCCCTCTTTGTGTGTGTCTCTGTCTCTATCCTCTCTGGGTCTTTTTCCTCTCCCTCTGAACCTAGATGGGGTTGTTTCAAAGTCCTTATGGGTGTTGGAAATCCTTTCTGATGGCAAAACCTGACCCTGGGTCACCCCACCCCTTAGTCTCCCCTGTCCACATCCCTGAGCTGCTGGAGAAATCCCCATAGCCTGTGCATCTGCACCATTATGACCTCTGACTCTCCTGGCCTCCGTTTCCTCATCTGCTCAGCGGACCTAATAATAGCACCTACATCATAGGTTGATGTGAGGACTACGTGAGATCATATTTGAGAAGTGCTTAGAACAGGACCTGGCACACAGCAAGGGCTCAACAGATGTTGTCCTGCAGTTCTGAGGCTCAGCTGAACTAACACCTTGCCTGCCCCCTGCAGCCTCCTTGGTGCCAGGATCCAGGCCTGTGGGGGAAGCCTCCCCAGCACCCGCATGCCCTACCCCACCCCCACATAAGATGGCCTAGGCTGCAGTCACCCCTCCACCTTCCACCTGCTCTTTCAAGAAGCAGTGCCCCTGCCCTGGGCTAAACCCACTTCATGTGCTCTGGACCTGGACTAGCCAATACCAGCCACTACGGGCTTTTTCCTTCTAAATCAATTAAAATTAAGTAAAATTTAGGTCTCAGGTCATGATCCCAGGGTCCTGGGATCGAGCCCCGCGTCGGGCTCCCTGCTCAGCGGGAAGCCTGCTTCTCCCTCTCCCGCTCCCCCTACTTGTGTTCCCTCTCGCTGTCTCTCTCTCTCTTCAGTTATTCAGTTCTGCTAGCCACATTTCAAGGGCTCAGCAGCCACATGTGGCTACCATATTTTACAATGCAGATAATAGGACATTCTCATCATTCCAGAAAGTTCTGTTGGACAGATGCCTGTCTTCCTTGCTCCGGGCGGGGGGAGGGGGTCCTCTCCATCATAGAACATACCCTCTCCTGTATCTTCCAGCACTCCTTCTCTGTCAAGTCAGACTGCCTGAATTCAAATCCCACCTGCACACCTTAATAGCTGCAGTAGCTAAGTTATTTAAACATTTTTAAAAATTAATTTAAAAAAACCTGTATGTAGGGGCGCCTTGCTGGCTCAGTTGGTAGAGCATGTGACTCTTGATCTTGGGGTTGTGAGTTTGAGCCCCATGTTGGGCGTAGAGATTACCTAAAAAAAATAAAGTAAAATAAAATCTGTATGCAGTCATGGTGAATGATTCCCAAAAGACACTGCTAAGTGGGAAAGAAAAAAGTGGTAGCTCAGAATCATCCAGTAGGAGTTCATTTGTGCATTTAAAATGTTTTCTTGGAGCACCATCTAGCTCAGCAGTTCTCAACAAGGGGCAATATCCCCTGATCAGGGACATATGGAAACACTGTTAGTTGACCACACTGGGGGTGGGGGAGGGAGAACTACTGGCATCCAGTGGGTGGAGGCCAGGGATGCGGCCGAACATCCCAAATGCACAGGACAGCCGACCCATGACAAAGAATGATCTGGCCCCAAATAGCAATATCAGAAAGGTGGAAAATGATGGTCGGTGTGTTTGCAAGGACCCACCCCTTTTGGTAGATGTACACCCCAAACTAATTTCAGGGGATACATGAGTTGGAGACTGGATTGGAGGAGGTCATCAAAACCTTACTAGTCAAGGGTGCCTGGGTGGCTCAGTCGTTAAGCGTCTGCCTTCAGCTCAGGTCATGATCCCAGGGTCCTGGGATCGAGCCCTGCATCGGGCTCCCTGCTCCCCGGGAAGCCTGCTTCTCCCTCTCCCATGCTCCCTGCTTGTGTTCCCTCTCTCGCTGTCTCTCTCTGTTAAAAAATAAATTAAAAAAAATCTTTATTAAAAAAAAAACCTTACTAGTCAAGGTTTATTTCTCTCTCTCTTTACAAACAGGGTGTATTCATGTATTGTTCGTGTAACTAAAAATTACATTTAAAAAAACACAACAACAAAATAGTACTAAATGTATCCAAACCAACCAAGGAAACAAAACTTTCTCTGACCCTCACCTCTCCCTCCAGATACACTATCTCTCCTTCCTTCCTGTCACAGCCAGCCTCCCAGGATCTTCACCTCCTCTCTCCCTCCTCCCCCACCCACCCCAGGCTGGCTTCCAGTGCCAGCCCCCTTGCAGCTCAGCCAGGCCACAGCTGTCTCTGGGTTGTTACTGAATCCAGTGAATCTTGTTATCGTAGTTGACCTGCTTTTGAGACTGCAGGGAGGGACTGTGCGACCTCCCTGAGCTTCTGGAGCCAATCTCTCCCCCCACCCCTACTTTCTCTGGCTGCTGCCCAGGACCTGGCCAAGTTCCTTTCCTTCTTACTATCCCTCCAGTGTCACCCTTCTCAGATGCTGTGTCCCAGGCCTCTACTCTTCCTGCATTTCAATCCAGAACCATCTACACAATTGGTGGGATACATTGCAAGTGAAAATGTGGGGTCCCTTGTTCAAATTTTTTAATAATTTTGGGGCGCCTGGGTGGCTCAGTTGTTGGGCATCTGCCTTCAGCTCAGGTCATGATCCCAGGGTCCTGGGATCGAGCCCCGCATCAGGCTCCCTGCTCAGTGGGAAGCCTGCTTCTCCCTCTCCCACTCCTCCTGCTTGTGTTCCCTCTCTCGCTGTGTCTCTCCCTGTCAAATGAATAAAATCTTTTTTAAAAATTATTAATAATTTCAAGATGGTCACAGTAAATCATTAAACCAAGTGTAGAGCCCTTCTGAGCCCGGGGCCCCAAGGGACTATGCAGGTCAGTTGCCCACAAAGCTGGCCATGCTTCCGAATCTCCTGGGTATAATCCCCAGCCTGTCTCACTGGCCTGCTCCCCCCGACCCCATGTTCTCCACCTTGGTGGTGGCCCCACCATCGCCCAAGATCTGCTCTCTGAGGGTTGTTGGGGTAAACAGAATGCACCTCTAAAGATGTCCAGGCATGAATGCCTGAAACGTATGAATATGTTGATCACATAGCAAAGGGACTTTGCAGATACGATTAAAGTATCTTACAGAGGGGCGGCTGGGTGGCGCAATCATTAAGCATCTGCCTTCAGCTCAGGTCATGATCCCAGGGTCCTGGGATCGAGCCCCGCATCGGGCTCCCTTCTCCTCGGGAAGCCTGCTTCTCCCTCTCCCACTCCCCTTGCTTATGTTCCCTCGCTGTGTGTCTCTCTCTCTCTATTAAATAAATAAAATCTTAAAAAAATAAAGTATCTTACAGACCTTAAAATAGATTATCTTGGCGTGATGGTGACTCTTATGTGTCCGCTTGGCCCAGCTACAGTGCCTGGTTATTCACTCAAACACTGACCCAGGTGTTCCTGGTGGAAGCATTTTGTAGATGTGGTTGATACCTACGATCAGTTGGCCCTAACTAAAGGAGATTACCCTTGAGAGCACCAATTAGTTGAGTAAAACAAAGGTTTCTCTGGGGAAGAAGAAATTCTGCTCCTGCAGCATCTGCTCCTGCCTAATAGAGTTTCCACTCTGCCACACGGATTTGTGGCTAGCCAGCCCCTACAAGCACAAAATCCAATTCCTTGCAAAAAATCACATATGTGGTTTTACTTATTCGTGGAACATAAGGAATAGCAAGGAGGACATTAGGAGAAGGAAGGGAAAAATGAAGTGGGGGGACATCAGAGGGGGAGAAGAACCGTGAGAGACGATGGACTCTGAGAAACCAACTGAGGGTTCTAGAGGGGAGGGGGTGGGGGGATGGGTTAGCCCGGTGATGGGTATTAAGGAGGGCACGTACTGCATGGAGCACTGGGTGTTATATGCAAACAGTGAATCGTGGATCACCACATCAAAAACTAAAGATGTGCTGTATGGTGATAACATAACATAATAAAATTTAAAAAATAATAATAAAAAATAAATTTTAAGCTCTAAGTACCAAAAAAAAGAAAAAATCATACATATATATGTGTGTGTATGTATATATATATATGATTAGGGATATGTATTACCTGGTAATCAGTAAAAATTAAAAATTAATATTTTCTATATCTTAACTATGTAGATATCCCAATTATATATCTTAATAATACATATACCTTAATACATGTGTGCATATGTATACATGTAGGGTGTGTTCTGGTTCCCTGGAGAACCTTGATTGATACACCTGTGTTATCCAGGTGGGCCCAATCTAATCACATGAGCCCTTAAAAGCAGAGAACGTCCTCTGGCTAGAGGCAGGAGGGAGATGGAGCAGAATGGCAAATCAGAGAGATTTGAAGCCTCAGAGGGATTCGACTCATCGCCAGCAGAAGGGAGCTGCGTGGAAAGCACCAGAAGGATGCAGGCAGCTTCCACACACCAGCCCCAGCTGGCAGGAGCCAGGGACTTCAGGCTCACAGCCACAGGAACTGAATTCAGCCAATGCCTCTAATGAGCTTGGAAGAGGATTGTTCCGAGTAAGCGGCACAGCCCTGCTGACATCTTGATTTCAGCCCTGACAGACCTAAGGTCCCACCCAGACTCTCACCCTACAAAAACTGTGGAATAAAAATTGTGGGTGGTTGTCAACCACCCAGGTTGTGGAGAGTCCTTACACCAGCAATGGAAAACCAATCTCCTC